TGCTACTTAGAAATATGCATTGAACCAGAATAATTTGAAAATATTGATTAACTAGTAAATTGTTTTAAAAAAATACACACGCCATTGAAGAAAACATTATGTAACTTAAATTCTATGGGATTAATTTTTTAACTTCTATTCTACATTATGCATAATAATGTATAAAACGAGTGTGCAAAATTTCAAGTGATTCTATAATGAGCGTTTGGAGTTATCATGGTTGCCTTGAACATAAATCATGAAAAACACAACGGTGCTACTTTGGTAGACGGTTGCACGGATTTTCGCGATTTTTCTTTTGGCGAGTAATACAACTTGTGGTAAACCCATTGCTGGATAAGTTATTTATGGTAACCGATACTTTGTTGTCATTTTATTAAAAAAATAATGCGTTTTATTATGCATAACTTCCGTGTTTTAAATATTATTTATGGCTTCTAAATATAAAATAAATAAATTTAATTTTACATTTTTATTGAATGAAAAAAATTTTTGTTGTTTAATATTTTATATAATTTTATGTTGTGGATGATGTAATCAATGACGTCACCTTACTTAAAAAGTAATTTGTTTTATTAATATCTATAAATTTAATCTAATGTTTTAAACATTATTTATGGGTGTTAAATATTAAAATATAATTTAATTTTGCATTTGTTTTAAAAATGGATTTTATTATGAATGATTATTTAAATAATTTTAATTCTATGCGTGATGTAATCAGCTCTCTGATTTGGTTACTGAATATTTGTGCATTACCGCGCCATTTTAAAATTTTATTATTCATCTCTTCGAATTCCTCAGATTTCAAATGGAATGGATACTCCATTTCGAAGATGAATGTTGTTATTGATAATTACCAAGAATTATTGGTATTGGAATAAAAAAATTGCCCTTTGAGACCTTATTTTGGCCAACCTGTCTTTCCTAATCAAAGATTTATTTATAAATTGTTAATAGCGTCAGAGAAAATTTATTTTAAATTTTTGGAGGAAACCTCGCTAATTGCTTCTTCAATGAAGTGCGAGATATGTGGATAACAGATGAAGATGGTTAAAAGAGCCGATTCAATTATGATTTCGATTTTTTTTGTGGTACTTATCAATAAACAAAAGGTTAAATTACTCAAAAAAATGTAAGTACATATTTTCTTTTATTTTATAATTGTATACTTCAATTTTTGTTAAAAAAAATTAATACACTATTTTCAAAAATTGCTGAGATAGTTATTGTCACATATGTTTTAATGTTAATTATATTTTATATAACGTATTTTAAAGTATTTGAATTTAATAATATTCTAATTCTTTTAAATGTTGGTAGGATGTTTTTTAATTCGATTTTCAATTTCAGTAATATTTTAATCTAATTAAACGTTGGCACAATGTTTCTATAGCGGTGTTTTTATTCTCTTTTTTGCTATATGAAAGTAATAATAGCCTTACTTTAGTATTTTATACTCATAGTAAATGTATTTATTTACACTTGCCTGCCATCTTAAAAAACGACATTTTCCAAAAAAAAAAAAAAAAAAAAAAAAAAAAAAATTAATCCATTACTTTTAACGATATTTATTTATTTTTTTAAGTTTCGAATACTTTACTATGCGTAAAAACAGCGTTTTTCAAGATGGCTGACGATTGTAAAAATCGCGCCAACGTAAATCGCCAAAAATCCGTGCAACCGTCTACCAAAGTAGCACCAAAACAACTAATCAAAAATCACGTTTAAAGTTTTCAGATTGTTACATGACATTATATACACAAATATTCACTAAACATGCTTCTGCATTATACGTGACAAAGTGAAAGTAAAATAATTAATACGTGACAAAGTGAAAGTAAAATATTTAATACGTGACAAAGTGAAAGTAAAATATTTAAAAGAATAGAAACCTCAACATTATGATTGCTTTTTAATTCATCAAAATCACTTTTTTCATTTGCAATAAACGTTCCAGATAATTTCATAGACAGATGTTTCAGTTTCATTGTGATTACCAGCATCAGCAGCCACATATTTTGTGTATTAGTCACTGTAAAATTTTCGCTTCTTTGAATGACTACGTATAAATTTTGGCATTCTCGAGCTTTCAGTTATTAAACAGAATAAAAAAAGTGCAGAAAAATGAATCTTTAGCTGATAAATTAGCGTAGGAAATTTGGGTAAAAGCGCAGAATAGGCTGCATCAACAAAGTTCAGTAGGAGGAGCTGTGTGACGTCCATAAATGGGTGGGACTTAGCTTATGACGTCACAATGTAGTCTCCATGGACCTTATAAGAAAGGTCCATGGTAAGGTATAAGAAACTGTCCTAGGCCTAATCGCCGCGCTTGCGTGGCCACGTGCTCAGAGATTTTGACTGTCGAGAGTCGAGTTTTGACTGTCGTACATGTAAGACGTACATCTGCTCGCTTCTGATTTTGTGATATTGGAACTCTTCTTTTATTATATCTGATCAGAGTGCATGCCGCTGTAACAGTAGGCCGGCATTGCAATAGACTCTGGTTGCTTTCTCCACTGCTTCATTTTCTACCATCCGCTCCACCATGGATCGAATGATTGATTTTATTGCCTCTGAGATTACCAACTTAGAATGCATCAAAGAAGCTGATGGATCTCTCTCATCTAAGGACGCACGAGACATTAAATTCCTTCGACGCCTCAAACTTTTCATCGACAGAGAATTAAACGCTGATCGTTCTTCTACTTCTCTTCCCAAACCAAACATCCCTGCTCCTAAGGTTGACAGTGATTCTTCAATAAGTGGAATCAACAAAACTAATGTCAGACGAGCCAGCAGCCCCGCGCGCTCAGATGAAGAGCAGTCGATAAAATATAAAGCACTGGATGAAGACAGCTCCGACACGGACTCAGGTCCTAAAGGAGATATTACTAGAAGACTAAGAAAACCCTCTCGAAAGCCTACTCTGACGGATTCCTCTGTTTTGTCAGAAATTTCGACAGCTGAGCCGACTACGGAAACAACTTCTGATAATATGGATACAGCCCACGCTAATGTGACGCCATCTAGTGAGATCCCCGAGAAGCCGGCTGCGAGTACGTCTCAGACGGAAAGCATGGTGCGGCCTATCGGTGCTGCAGATGAGGTCACGTGCCCGACTGGTCTAATAGGTGATGCTCATGATCATGAAACTGGTACCAATTCTGCTGAAAATAATGAGCAGGATGTGGATAAATTCATACATCCAAACAAAGTGGGCAATAAAGCTCCCCCGATCATTATACAAGATGGTAAATACTCCTGGTTAAAATATAAGGAAATGTTTAAAGATGCAGGAATTAAGCTAAAATCAGGTATAATGAAAGCTCAAGACCACTATGAGCTAAAAGTTGACAGTATAGAAACTCATAAGAGTTTAACTGCATTACTTAATGCCAAAGGAGGGAAATATCACTCATTTATTTTACCCGAAAACAAGAAGGTTAAAGTTGTTATACGCAGCTTACCGATCGACACGCCAACCTCAGAGATAGCTGATGAACTAATAGATAGCGGTTTCCCAGTTGAACGAGTCTCGCAATTAGTAAGACGCAGAAATGGTGAAAAATTTAATCTGCCCCTGTTTCTAGTTATTTTGAAGAGGAATGAAAAAGCGAGAGGGATACATAACTAAATTATGTTTGCTGAATGTTAAAGTAGAAGCTTACAAAGGAAGGAAAGGGCCGGTACAATGCTTTCGGTGTCAGGCATTTCATCATGCCCAGGCAGGATGTATGCATAACCCGAAATGCATGAAATGCGCTAGCGATCATTATTCAAAAGACTGCCCCAAGCCAAGAGAAGATAAACCTAAGTGTATAAGTTGCCAATTAGATCATACAAGCAACTACAGGGGTTGCCCGAATTTTACCAAAATAAATACTCAAAATCCGCCTTTGAAGAATTTCAGTGATAGAGTAATTATCAATAAATCTTATGCCGCCGCTGTTGGCGGGCAAACAATGAATACTCTAAATGAAGCTAGAAGTATTTTTGAAGGGCTTAAAAACCTTGTTGAGGCTATTAAGGCTTCCGGCATTCTACAAGTAAATTTAGCTCCTAGCGCAAATGCTAGTAGTTCGTGTCGTTTGTTGTTGGAAGGGTTGCGCCCGCTTTTCTTCATAAGGTTCAACAAACCAGGCGGAAGGGCTGCGCCCGTATAAAACAAAACCTCGTAATATTCACTTTGAGACCCAAGTCAGAATGAAAGTAGAAGAATGGCTAGGTGCTCCCACGGTTCTAAATGCCGATGGTTTAACTAATCTAAGAGAAGTTACAGATATTACAGTAGACGCTCGTTTTTACGAACTCGTAGGGACTACGAAAACAGTTCGTTAAATCGAGAGTTCGTAATTTAGAAAGGCATCGGAAATTGTTAGTATTTCACATTATAATGTTTTCGAGGCAGGTTAGTGATACTATTCCATGCTTTTATTTATGTATTAGGAATTATTTTTAATAGTATTACTACTTAATAAATGATATCCATTCTATTAAACAAACAAGAAATATAAAATATTTGTAAAACGTACCTTTATTAAGTCATTGAGCAACAAAATAATCATTTATCTTTGTCTTTAAACAACAGATTGTACAATGCAAGACTCCATCTTCTCTATATTTGTTAGCATTTCACATTATCACTGGCCTCAAAAAATCGTCTAAGTTCTGACAAGTATTCAGTAGCTTGTTTTAAAGTCGGTCTTGGTGTTACTTCATTTTCTTCTTCTTCTTCTGGATCTGAAAGTCTCTCATTCTCGTTGATTATGCTGCTAATAATATCGTGATCCGATATTTCCTCAGATCAGTGCAGATGACATTAGAATACACATTTAAAAAATCCTCGAATGAAAGTTCTGGCAACTGTGGATTTCTACGGCGAAGTTCATGCATGAAAACCTCATCTTCGTCGTGAGATCTATTGTCATGGATTTCTTCAGTTACGTCTGTTTCTTTAATAAAACCTGCATGTCGAAAGGCTTTAGAAATTGTTTCATCTAAAACATCATTCCATGCACTGATTGATAAATGCATTGCACCAAGAATATCAATCTGATAAGGTTGTCCCTTTCCAAGCCAAGGATTACTCTTTGCAAGAGCACTGTCTTATATTTTCGCTTGAAACTATTGATTATCCCCTGATCCATTGGCTGTAAAACTGCAGTTGCATTTGGTGGGAGATATTCCACACGGATTGCCTGAAGCCCAGTGACTTCCATGTGTGCCGTACAATTGTCCACGATTAGGAGAACTTTGCGCTTCTCTGCTGAAAAACGGTTATCTAAACCTCTCAACCATTTTTCGTAGATGTTGCCAGTCATCCAGGCCTTATTATTAGCATAATATGCAGCAGGAATCTTCTGAACATTTTTGAAACACCTTGGTTTCAGATATTTTCCAATAAAGAGCAGAGGCAATTTTTGTGACCGAGTCATGTTGGCTTCAATCAAAACTGTAAGTCTCTCTTTAGCTTTATTACCTCCAACACATTTATCTCCTTTGTAGGCTAATGTTCTTTCTGGCAAAATCTTAAAAAACAAAGCCGTTTCGTCCGCATTAAAAACGTCATCTGCAGCGTATTCAGAAAAAAAGCAATTTCAACAACTTTCTTCTTTCCATTCATTTGCTGATGACGTGTCTACTGCTGCACTTTCACCACACACTTTCCGGAAACTCAAACCATTCCGAAATTTAAATTTCTGTAACCAACCATCCGATGCTTTAAAATCTTTGATGTTTAATTTGGAAGCAAAAAAGTGTGCTTGTTCTTTTAGTACATTTCCATCAGTTGGAATGTTTAAGCTTCTCATCTTTCGAAACCAAACAAGCAAAGCCCTTTCCAAATTTGGGTGTTTTGATTCTCGAAAATATTTTCGAGAGGAGGGTCCACATTCATCGTTTCCGTTTTTAGCTCCAAAGATCTTCTCTCTTGCCTTTAAAATCGTCGATAAACTATTTTTAGGAATTCCATATTTCTGAGCAATTTGTGTCTTGCTTAATATTTTTTCGTCAACTTCTTTTAAAATCTTCTTTATTTCAACCGCTAAACAAATTTGTTTCTTCATTTGCGACATAGCTCTAAGAATCTTACTTAACAAAAACTGGCCCAATCTCCCTCTCGACTAACGAGACTTCACTGATTGAGTTGTCCAGATCAAATGACTGACATTAGAAAAAGTAACAACTCTCTTTTAGAAGCAACCCAAACCCCTTTAACACGAATGGTCTCACCCCCACCCAACAACATCAGGCTGATGCTCTTCTGAGAGCCTCCCACAACAAACAACACCATAAATTTGTCCTAAATCCCCTTCTTCTCCGCCCCTCCTTCCTTACTGTACTTCTTCGAATGTTTCGCACTTGCTGCCTCAAAATAGTTGGAGATTTTATTTGACCTTCACACTTCGTCCCAATGAAACACGCAGAAGTATGAAAACTGAGTTCGCAAAAAAGAGATTTTCCTGATTTGTAGTTTGTAAATAAGAGCGCAAAATTACATTACATCTATGGGAGTGTATTCGGGACCATTCGCTAGTTCGTTCAATCGAGAGAGTTCGTAAAAAAGAGGTTCGTTAAAACGAACGTCTACTGTATCTCCAAATTGAACCCCAAGAAAGCCCCAGGTATTGATGGAGTTACAAATTTAATGATCGGGAACTTCCCGCGCGGTGGAATCACAAGACTTTCCAGCATTTTTAATATATGCATTACGTTATGCTACTTCCCGGACTGCTGGAAGCACACAAAAGTTTTCCTACTACCGAAGCCTGCAAAAAAGACATCACTAAGGCGGAGAATCACATGCCCATAAGCTTGCTCTCTAATATAGGCAAGATCTTTGAACGAATAATTTTAAGGAAATTCCAGCCTTATTTACAGGTACTTCCGGAAGATCAGTACGGATTTAGGAGCGAACTTTGCACATCTAAACAACTGATTAGGCTTGTGGAATTTATCGGCTCTGCTCTGCATCATAAGAGTTGTACTGCAGTGCTCATGCTGGACGTGGCCAAAGCATTTGACCGTGTCTGGCATGAGGGCTTAATATATAAATTGATAATGATGAATTTGCCTAGAGAACTGATCTTACTCACCAGATCTTATATTGCAAATCGTTACTTTACTGTTAGCTGCAAGCAAAGTCATTCTGGATACAAAACTATCGCTGCAGGCGTCCCCCAGGGGTCCTGTCTTGGCCCAGTACTCTATCTTTTCTATGCGGCTGATTTCCCGCGGGATAAACTCAACAGAAATACATTGCTGGCCTGCTATGCGGATGACACCGCTGTAGCGGTCAGATCTATTCAGCCTAACAGGGCAATTTCTGTTATGCAGGATATAATTATGGACATTGAGGAGTGGTGCTCCAGGTGGAAGATTTCCATCAATGCGACTAAATCACAGCTACTTCTTGTTAGAAGGAAGAAAATACTGGTCTCAGTTCAGCCACTTTACCTATTCGGCCAACGTGTCCCGATGGTAAACAAGGCCAAGTATTTAGGTGTTTACTTGAATCGAAGACTCACGTGGAGTACGCATGTCAATTACATTGCAAACAAGACCAGAGGAATTGCTCAACAATTACAAGTACTGCTAGGGGCGCAGCTCGCAGTTAGATCTGAGAAGGAAAAGACAGATTTATATTTCCATTTTAAGACCAATTATGTGTTATGCGTCCCCTGTCTGGGCGACTGCTACGAGCTCAGATATCAACAAATTGCAGGTGACTCAAAACACAATCTTACGCACCATGACAGGAGCGCATTTTTACATCCGTAACAAACTCCTGCACGATGATTTACAAGTTGAATATATTGACAAATATCTGCAAAAACTTAACAGCAAGTTCTTTGACAAAGGTTTGAATTGCAGTAAAGGAAACTTTAATGCTGTACTGAACTATGTCTGCATTCCTGAGGACTACAATATCAGGCCTTTCACGGCTCACAGAATGAGGGATCACAATTTTGTCACTTAGCCCACTCGTTTTCAAATATGTAAATAACACATTTTTATGCGTACATTACTTCACTTTCATTTGTTTATTACATGTTCAACACTGTATCCTATGCACATTTCATGTATTTTCATTTCATGTATTTTCATTTCTTTTGCATCTTCATAGCTCCATACACGTGATTATTACTCTTGTCTCAGGGGGGTAAGAGTTAAGTTACTTTGATGATTGGACTTTGTCACTATGGCCGATGGGCCCTCTTATCCTTACCCGCTCGGCTTTACGGCTAGGAACTAGCTGATAGTTGACATTCTGATTGTCCTTAGGGGATTAGATCAATATAGCTTATTAAAGCCCAACTGGGCTAATATAAGCATAAGCAATTAGCATTTAAGCAAGCATTTAAGGTATAAGAAAGGTCCATTTCTTATAAGGTCCAAGGTAGTCTCTAGAGTAACCCAGTGGGCGGGCCGCGCGTCACCGACATGTCGGCAAGAAAGAGTAGGGACGATCTGGTTTACTTTAACATTGAAACCTATGGCGTTTGTATCACATAACTCTTTTTAATTATTAAATGTGATACTTTGTATAGTGATGATTATGAAAGCCACAGTTTTTCCAAATGGGATTTAATATATCTCATTAAAGCACTTTTTACTGCATTTCGCGCATTTTTTGCACGCGTAATTCTTGTGTACAAACATCGTTACTTTGGTAAAACGGTAAAAACTCTAAGCACAAAATTTATGAACTTAATTTTGCGTAAAAATAAAGTAAAATTAAATAAGATTGATAGTACGTGACGCTTTGAAATAAATAAGGTAAAATTAAACAAGATCTGATCATTTTTTTTTAATTTAATGAAAATTTTCAGGCAGTGATTTTCCAAACTATAATAACATTACAAATCGATCATATTTATTTGATATATGATCATTAAATTATTAACATTAAAGTGGATTATTAGTTATTTTAATAATTTCATAAAATTCGGAGCATAAAATTTTCTAAGCGTAATGAAGGGGGAAAAAAAATAAAAATAATAAATAGTGCTATAATACTCATCTATAATTTTAAAAAAGCACAATTTAGAATTTTAAACAAAACTTTAAAAAATTCGTTTTTAAATATTTTAGTACTTTTACTTATTTACAGCAATTAAAAGCATAAAAATTGCAAAAGAAAATTGCTTGTTTGAAATTTTCTATTAGTTCAGATTTAAAATATTATTTTCTAAAAGAAGTAGTTACAAATTTCCTTACATTCCATAGGAAAAGCTAAAAAAATATCCAGCCCTGAAAGCACGCAATAGCTTTATAATTATTTGGAACGTAAATTATGCATGATAAATATGTTAAATTTTTAAAAAATCAATCTCAATTTCAAAAAAAATAAAAATATGTAGAAATTCTAATTTTGTGAAATGAAGCGCTAAAAACCAGCTTTTTCTGACAATTATACACGCTGCAAATATGCAACCAATGTTAAATTTCTGCAAGTCGTCCCTACTCCTCCGAATGTGATCAAGGTGACAGCCGGCAATGCGTCAGACGAGGGAGAAAACCCGTTTGGGTTAGTCTATTTCTTAAAAGGTCCATGGTAGTCTCGCATTTACACTACGTGTACTTTCTATTTTCTCTTTAAAATAACAATAATAAATTGTTTATTATTGTAAATTAATATCAAATTCTTTACTTTTAATTTACATTTATAACATTTAAGCTTAGGCGTTACTGATAATAAGTATAATACATTGTTTATATAAATTACCAAAAATTACCATGATACAGTGAGCGAATTCTACCAATTATTAAAACGATAAACAAAACGTCGCAGTCTCTAATACTTGTTGAGCTTCAATATTTTCAAAGATTTTTATTAAATTATTATTTTTTATAATTTTTTATTTATACAAATAAAATATTTTTAAATTTAAATTCATATTGGTATAACATTTCAATTTATCATTTTTACAAATTACCTTCTTGCTACGTAACGACGTAATTCCTTGCATACCAATAATTAGACAATTTTCATTATTTCTAAAAATTTAAACTTTACATTAATAAAAAAAGAATATTTTTTATTGCATATGAACATCATTACACAGCTTTCATATCAGTTTCTAAAATTCCTAAATCACGACGCCATATTCTGTGTAGTCATGCTAGAATTTACGCATTATAAATAAAAAAATATAATTTCTCAGAATGAAAGAAAATAATATAATAAAATAAATACTACAAACTTGGAACACTAAGCAATGCTTCACATACGCACACACACACACATATTATCAATGAACTCATATTATCAAGTGCAATTACGATACCAAACACTACGTATTAAAATATGAGGTAAACATTACTTCAAGAGTTAAAGTTAACAATTTTGCTACTGTTAAGTGGATCGTCGGGCTATCGATGTATGTCGTAAGTCGGAAAGCGTTATACACATATCAAAGCCAAAAAATTAAAA